TTGCCAGCTTTCCTTGGGAAGTATAGTAATATAGTGACTCTTGCCCTAAAAGGAAAGCAGACTTAGTTTCCATTCCTTATTGATTTATTAGATACTTATAGACTAACTTACCAACTTCTGTGATTTTTTCTGTTTGCTTCTCAACGAGATAAGAGATTGTATTTATGATTATGACTCCACAGACACATTACAAGAATTAACAAGCTATTATTTTTCAAGAGCTTGGAACACATTGTGCTTCTGCTATTTTGGCAAATAAAGTAGATAAATGCATAAGTTAAGTCTCTCAATACTCCACCTTTTCTTTTTTTACATCACTGCCAGTTATAAGGAGTTACCAGATTTTTTTTTTATTTTACTTTATTCTTTTTTCAAAACATCTAAACAGCAGAAGAGGTGGCTAATCTTGTTTCATATGAAAATGAAGAACAAGTTAGGGCTCACTTTCCATTCCACTTTATTCTTTCAGACATATCTTAATATAATAGTAAACTGAAAATTAGTGTAAGATTTTCCCATGGATATATACATTGTTTTTCCTTTTTGGGAAAATCTCATATCCAGCAATCCATTGCTAGCCAAGGTGCACTGTTATCAACCTACTAAATAAAGAACAGTGTCTATTTTCAGCTAAAATTTTGGAATTTCTACCAAGTCTTATAGTTGTAGGCAATCAAAAGCAAAGGCAGGTTTTACTAAATGTCTTCTAGATCCAAGGTGACAAGATATTTATTTCTAATTTTTCTCTAAATAGAAAAAAACATGTTGATGTATTTTAGTGCTAAATGATGTAAAGGGTCATTATTCAATTTCGTGCAGTATAACATTTGGTTTCTAAATAGAACAAAACCCATGATGATGGTGTTATAGATAAAATTTCATGGACTTTATTTATTATTGTAATTCAAAAATACTTAATCTAATGGAAATTGTCATTTAATACGTCTGTGATTGAAATAGTTTGAAGTTTATTTGTAATAGGTCTCTTTCAAATATATTTTTGCAGGATTTATGGAAGTAGAATGTTCAGTGCTCCCTCTCCTGGTTTTATCATATTGGTGAACTGACCTCTCATCCCAAAATTGTGATAGTAGAGAAGACAGTTTTGAAGAACCAAATAAGATGCTCTGATGTGATATTCTATTTCTGATTTGACCATTCCAAATCCATTCATAATGATCAAGAAACCTATTCATCATTGGTTGAAGTTCATTACATCCCAAAATATAATGAGATCTATGAAAAAAATAGAAAATGTACACAGTAAAGTTGATCTTATCCTTTTAAACAGCCTTTTAATACAATTTATAATAGTAGGAATGATTATGTAGCTTCTTGGCTTCATTCTTGTTCTGTTATTTTCTAGTGATGCTTTCTGCTTGTTGATGGTCTTAGCAATGCTCTAGGTTCCTTAGAGGTAATTCCAAACACAACTGTAATTTCTTTTAAGTGCTCAAACATTTGAAAGTCTAGCATGGAAAAAAACAGTTTCAACAGAATCACTTGCTATTGTAAAGAACGAGATTTTAAAAATTACTTTGAACTGAAAATTTCCATTCTCAAATTATATATGCATTAATTCTGGAGTTTTGTTTTCTTTGCTTTATTTTCCCAAAGATTTTAGGCTTCTCTTGATATACAGTACCTAGAAAAAAATTTTCTTTTCCACTTTATTACTATGTGTTTTTGGCTTTTAGGTGTCTTTAAAAAAATCTCTGTGGAACCTTAAATTTCACAGTTATCCTATTTGCAGTATTAGGTACACCATTTTGATAATAAATATCTAAAATTCAATAGCTTCAAAGGAAGAAAAATCAAATTTCATATTGATTAAAATGATTTTTTTCTCAGTGACACATCATATAAGAACTATATGTAACTTTATAGTAAGAACTATAAAAATTCTTGGTAAATTATTTCTATTTTAATTGATTGCCATTTAGCTGATTTAAAAAATATAATAAATGGGTTGGGATCTTTTTTTTTTGCAAAATTATACAAATATATTACAAAATTGAAGGAGTTGAGGATTTTAAAAATTTGATTGATTTTGGGAAAGCTAGATCAGAATCAAAATGGAGCAAATATTATAAAATATACAGCAGAAAATTTCACCTTTATGACATTGTTATATACATTCTCAGTAAGGAGTGCCACCTTTTGAACTTTCAGATTTCGCATACTCTGAACTTAGCTTTAAGTAGGAACTGTAATACCATATTATCATCTTTTTGTCAATATACATTTTCTCTCTAGCTGATCAGAAGTGATGGCTTTGCATACAAATTTTTTATCTTCTTCAAAATTATTTTCGAATACAATTTTAAAGGTAGAGTCCACCAACCCTTTTACTGAAATGGACCATAAAAGATTGATAACTAAATTTAAAGGTACTCGTTTATGACAAACTGCATTTGCAGGACTTTTAGAGGCAGCCTCAAATTTTTAGAGGATGTTTATTACACGAGTGTACGGGGCAACATTTCAAGCTGGTACACATATAACGAAAGAGGAAACGACTGGTGGGGAATTCCTGTTCCAGGTTTTCAGGCAGCCCGTGTGATTGACACATGATATCACGGGAGGCGTGTCCTGGAGTGGAGGTGGAGGTGGAGGCGAAGAGCTGAAATTGTGCGGCGCTGGAGTGGGATTGCTCTGTAAGGCACGCAGTGGTTTGCAGAGTGATAGCAGCAGCCAGAGCTCCCTGCCCCGGATAAGGAACAGCTACAGCCGCTGTAAATGTGCCTGAAAAGCAATTTCCAACCTTTGCGTTAGGTAAGAGCCGTTTCCTCCCTTTCCTTCCATAGAGGTTTTAGGAAAGATTAGGTGAGAAATGTTGGCTTTTGCAAGGAACTGAATATGTCTTTGAACTCGCTTTAGATCCAAGAGTACTGGTTGCATTTCAAGTTACCAGTAGCCTTCCCACTGCTAAAGCCAGCGCTCTTAAAGTGCGTGCTATCGCTGAAAGATACAGCAGGGTCCCTTTGGTTTCCCCCCCTTATCTGAACAGTAAGAAGTTTCAAGTCTGAAACGGTTGGATGTGTGGCGTACAGAGTGGGTTGTGCCGAAGAGGGGCTGGCACTCGGCGTGTGGACCAAATGCATGTTTGTTTAGGCATTGTTGGCGAAGCAATTGTTTAAAACCTGAATTTCCCGTCTCTGTGTATTGATTTCCAATGCGTACAGGCGTTGCTTGAACGCTGTTTGAACTCCTAGGCATTCCAAAGGGGCAAAAGCACTTCGGCAAAAAACGTGCAAGACTGCATGTTACTTTGGTTCGCTGCTGACACGCCGACTGTGCGCCGGCCTGTCAATCACAGGGAGCAGCAACAGCCAGCACATGGCAGCGGGCGGCCCGCCCCGCGTGCAAGTGCCTGGAAAGGGGAATTCATGTGTTTTAATCTCCAATCGTCTGTAGCAGGCACTTCAGCGGTGCGACAGGAGGGTCGGAGGACTGAGAGTGAGAGCTGCTGGGAGAAGCTGACCTGCCAGGACTGGAGCGCCCCGGACGCGGCGCCCCCACTTGCCCAGCGTGTGGATCGGGAGTGCCTGGACCTGCGCGGAGCCCGGGACGACGCCCCGCCTCTTTCCCCCAGAGAGTCCCCCAAACCCTGCTCCCTTCACAGCCCCCCTAAAAGAGCGGGTAAAACGTCCCACCCCCGCCCCCCGGGAGCAGCGGCCTCTGCCTCGCCAGCGTGCGCTCCCGGGCCCCGCCGGGCCTGAGCGGCTGGGTGCCCTGCTGCGGACGTCGGTTCGAGTCCCGTCCCAGGCGCCGCGGAGACTCCAACGTCCGGGACGTGGATTTCTGCTCGTCAGGAGGCCGCCACTGCCGTCTTTCGCGCGAGGAGCGATCGGCAGCGAGAAGCCAGCCCTCTGGGTCGTGCACGGCGCGCCGATCGGCGGCGGGTCTCGGAGAGCCGCGGAGGAGACGGCTGTGGTTCTTGGCGGGGCTGCCGGAGAAGCC